TGTGTGTGTGTGTGTGTGTGTGTGTGCGCGTGCACGTATTTGTATGTATGTGCTCTAGGGTGCCTGTAGAGGGCAGGTGACAACTTGCAGGAGTCAGTTCTCTCTTTCTAGCACATGGGTCCTTGGGACCAAGCTCAGGTCACTAGGCTTGGCAGCAAGTGCCTTATCCCGCTAGGCCACCCTGCCAGCCCATTTTATACTTTCTTAAACACAGCCCTCTATAGACAAAAGTTTTAAATTTTGATGAGGCTTGATTCACCAGTTTTTGTTTTGTTTTGCATTGTTTCCCAAACTTTTGAAGCAGTATGTGGGAATCCATTTCTAATTCAAGGTTACACATGTTTTCAGTTCATATTCCTGTGAGATGTTATGGTCTTCGGTCTTGTGCCTGGCTTGTCTTTCCATTCTGTGCTATTGTAGTCTTGTGCTGGGAGGTCGGAGACCACGCTCGTCTTCTGCATGTGGAAATCCTGGGGATGCGTCACCATGTTTCCTGTCTCTACAGATTGGCTTTACAGGAAGGCACTTTTTCAGTGTTTACCTAGTTTGTGCTGAGCCTAGAAATAAACCACAGAGAAAGTCAATGTCATTTCCTCTATGCTCTGAGGATCTATGTAGCTTGTGATCCTCCAGCACAGGCATTTTAAAAACATCCCAGTTTCCCAAAGAAACTATTCCCAGTGTTCTTCCCCAGCTTGGTTTATTCACTTATTGTATGCCTCAACCACAACCCTTTGCCCTAGGTGGCACTGTTTCCTACTAGTCAGATGACATTTTTGAGCAAAGCCTTTTTATTTCCCACTCCGAGATTCCGAGTAAGTTGGAAAATGAAGATAAATATTTCATACCCATCCTTCTGAAAGTCTTCATTCAGATGAAAATTAGAAACAAAATTAATTTTAAAACAAAGTCTACTCTACTCCTTCCTAGCAGAAACAAGACTTTACATAGTCCAGGCTGTCACCTTTGAGGTTCTCGGCAAGTCAGTGGGGGACAGGAGAGATGTCACAAAGCTTTCCTATGATTTAAGTGGCATTAATATTCACTTGGTTAATACTTGCCTCTGGTCATTTTCCCTGGGTTCTAATACAGTCACTTCTGGCATTCAACTTTAATGTGCCGAATAATTTGAAATCATCAGCCTCTGTCTAAGAGCAGGGTTTTATAATAATGGCGATGCAAACAATAAGGGCACCGATGTATGCATACTGACTGTGATCTGTCAGTCACTACCTGTCACTAGAATATTTCATCCTAATAACACCCCCAGAAGGCCAGCATTAGTTTTGTTTGCACTTTAACAGGTAATGAAATAGAAATATAGCATGGTGTTTGCCTGGGGCCAAAGAAATGATAGACATGAGCAAAAATCTGTTCTTGGAAAGTTAGCTGTTCCTATTACCAATGAGGCTCACACATGTGATCTGCAGCATAGCACATGTTTTCTGTGTATTAAATATTAACACAATACTTCATACATTAAAGTATTTACTTTAGAGTAACATCTAATTGCTTTTCATTGATTATTAATGAAGTATGACTCTTGGTACCACAATCATCCATGGCTGAGTTTGAATTCTGGAAAGATCACTTGATACTTGATGTCTAGTTTCTGGGTTTTCCTCATGCTTCTGAGAAGAAGATTTGAGTTGTTTTCTTTGGATATCATGGGATTAAAGAATCCAAGATGATGCCATATGCTGATAAATATCTCGTTGTTGACCAATTGTCAAGACAGCTTCCTGTTATCAATAAGCTGATCTACAACTAATGAAGAGCAACATCCCACACACACTGGAGAAAGTGTTTTACTGATGGGGTTGGGGGGGGGGCTTTGTGACTGTCAATCACACAGTCCAGGGCAAGTCAAAGCTCACAGTCCTGATGCTGGGACAGTTAGTCCCTATCCAGCCTGCAGCCATGTTCTAGGAATCTGGAGGAGAAAAAGCCCTGTTCACAATCCACTCTGATTCAATGATCTCTTCCATCTTCCCCCCATTTGGTTCTCCACTTAAGATGGCTCCCCTCATCCTAACTTATTCTGATTTCAAACTCTGGCACAGTATAAGGGAAAAATGCCTTGTGTATTTACAGCACATTGAGGTTGGAATAATGTGAATACAGTAAAAAGGAAAGAGAGTCGTGACTCTAATGCTACCTGCCCATGTGGGTTCACCACTAACTCGCTAGAGCTAAGGCTATCCCAGTGTGTTCCTGTTCCACCTGTCTATCACATGCTCGGGGCTCTGGGATAGCGGCACCTTGCCCTCCTCTGCATTCATTCCATCCCAAGCACCTCTCACTGAAGTTGACGGCTTCCTGCCAATGTAGGATCTTGGATACTTGCTATTGCTACACTTTCACTTACAACCCAGCATGAGTTTATATTCCATCAAGCCGTCCTGGCAATGTTCACATTGAACGCACAAGTAAACATAAGATGTTTGACACTCAAAAATTTTCTCACTTAAAAATTATGAAACAATGAAGAAAGACACGATTTCCTGGGTTTCCTCCCTTTTTGTCTTGTTTTCGGTTTATATTCCTGAAGTCTGACTACCTTCCAGTCACAGCACCTGAAGCCTGCCTCAGAGACGACTGTGTCCAGTGCTCCCATTCTCTACAGGTTTTCACTGAGGAGACCGAAGTATATCTTGTTCCTTTTCCTTCAGAAACTGTAATAGTTTGCTTCAGAAAAATCTGAAGTTAACTTTTGTCTCCATTAATGTGAATACATCATGTGACCTCTGCTTTCTTTTCTTAAATATCATTTCAAAATTTAGTGTCCTTCATGTGGTTAAATAATATTCTATGTAAAACTTTACTGAACTAAATGAAAAAGGGGATAAAATCATTATAAGATAATGACAGTTTGTGACTTAGATTTTTAACTATCTTTAATGGTATGCTGTATAATTTCCATCTCACTGCCCGAGTGGGCAGTTATGTTGTGAACACTGTATTCCTTTATTCACTTATTTACCCCTTTGACCCAGGGCAACTCCAATGGAACACGACCTTTTTATATGTCATGCAATGGAGTCTTTATTTCTATCTAGTGACAGGGGAGAGTAGTGACCATTAGAAAATAAATATATTATGAATTATATTGTGAACATGTTTATGTTCTAGCATTTACACATATGTGTGTGTGTGTGTGTGTGTGTGTGTGTGTGCATGTGTCCATACATGTGTATGTGCAGGGGGTGAGGGAATGGGGAGAGCATTTTAAATTAGATCAGCAAGATAAAATCCTGAAGAAGAAATAAATCATTTGTGAAGAGACTGTAAAGACCATAGGAATTAGCTATGTGAATTCAAGGCAAGATGCTTTCCAGCTAAAGGAAACAAAACAAGGTTCATCTTGCTAGATAACATACTGTTACAAACTCATCAAATCAAGACAATACCTTTTTTTTAAAAAAAAAAAAAAAAAAAAAAGACAGGGTTTTTTTGTGTAACTGTGGAGCCTGTCCAGGAACTTGCTTTGTAGACCAGGCTGGCCTCATAGAGATCTACCTGCCTCTGCCTCCCCAGAGCTGGGAGTGCACCATCACACCTTGGTGACAATATCTATCTTTATCTCATGTTTGTATAGTACAAAGATCTGGGTGGACTTGCCTGGAATCATGATTTAGGGTCTCGCTGGCCAAAAGCAAAAATGTAGCCAGAGTAAGCTGTGCTTGGGAATCTGGGGAGCTGAGGACACATCCATTTCCAATTCAGTCAAGTCATTGGTCAAATGCAGTTCCTTGTGCTTTGGGACTGAAGTCACTCGTCGTCTTCTTGTCTGATCGCAGGCATCAAGAGCAGCATCCAGGGCTCACACTGCAACCCTCTGTTCAAACAGCAGAGAAGCTTCCTCAAAACAAATCACTCTCTTTCCTTAAGTCTCCCCTGCTTTCTTTGCCTCTCACATAGATTGTGCCTACCTAGATAACCCTCTTTTTTATTAACTCAAAGACATATGACTAGTATCCTTAATCATATCAGCAAAATCCCTTTCCCAGGTAATGAAGCACTCATGGGGAGTGATCTCTCGTAGCCATGGTTAATATTAGAGTGAAGGATTTTAGGGAAATCACTGGAGAGTCTTCTCATGACTGGCCCTAAGCAGTTGTATTCAGGAAACATTAACAAGACAGTGGGCCCAGATGAGGGTGCAAAGCAGGTCGAGGGAGAAAGGGAGGGTCTGATGTCTGTGGAGGAACTCAGCCAGTATCTGTGGGGATGTGCTGATGTGGATGGTGTAGGGTTTAAGACCCTTGAATCATCTAAGGAGAGAAATCTGGGGACCTTCTGGGGTTCAGCAAAACCTTTAAAACACAAGGCACAGAGGAACAAAATACTGGGTTTTTTTCTACACGTCGCTAAATATTTTATTATAAGTGGCTTTTAAGTTCTTATAATTTATTTCTAACGTTCACATTAGAAAGTGCTTTCTATTTGGAATGAGATCATTATGGAACTAAAATATTTTTTTCTTTCTCCAAGGGAAACAGATGATAATTTCTAAAGCAAATAAGCCAGAAAAGGTTGGTACTCAAGAGAGGTCTTTGCAGCCTTCATTATTGGATTCTATGCTACAAATTTTTAAATCATTTTCTTTGTCTTTGCAGTTGCTTTTTCTTTGATTAGCTGTCAGTTATGATAATGGCAACAATGGTAGTGGTACTGACCAGCATGCACTCCTTGCTGGCTCGGAGAAGGCATTTTGCTCAGGGCTTGCCTCAGCTCATCAGCTGAGGTGCCAACAGCAGCCCCTGAGAACTGGACCCCATACTTTACCTCTTTTATAAGATAGGACTTTTTGGCTTAGAGAGTTTAAAAAACATGACCTGGATATATTGATTGATTGCCCTTGCTGATACACATCTTAAGCATGTACAGTAGATTTTTTAGCAAAGAATCTGCTTTGGGTTGCATAGCTACTGTGAGGTAAAAATGAACTGAGTGTCTGACTTCCCATATAAACCTGATGATTCTTCACAAGCACAAAAAGGACAAGGCTACTAGGATTGTCACTATTTTTGCAGCAACAACAAATACATTATACTTTATGTGGGTTGGATGACTTTTGTCTATGCTCATTTCTGTTAGATGGCTGAGTTTACTGTGAACTTATGTCCCCTGGCTGTATGGCCTCTACTCAGTACTCCCTTTTCAACACTTCCTGCATGGAGAACACAGAATTCTAGGGCCAAAATAACTCTGAAACAAGGAACAGATTGGCAATCTCTCCACATGGAATGGACAAGATAACACGTATTTCAGGCTTTGAAAGTCATATGACCTCCACTCCCCAGGCCTCAGCTCCACCTTCTAACATGAAAAGTGCCACAAGCAGTCACAAGTAATAGAAGGCAGTTATGTTCACTGTGTTCAAATAAACATATTCAGGAAACTTGGTCAGGGTTCAACACATGAGCTGTTTGCTCATCTCTGCTCACAGCTCAGAGCATTAACAAACTACCACTGCATACAACATATGGAAGAAAAATATCCCATACCCAGTAGAAGGCCAAATCTGTGCCAAAGAGAGCATGCTATTTAAATTGATTGGTACAGAATTCAATTTCATCCAGACCTGTCCTGGCACAGAGTGATGTCAGAAAAATGCTTGGCTACCTTTGTGGAGAGACAGTAACTGTGAAGAACCAGAAATGGAGTATCTGAGATGCTGTCTGCAGTCAGGCTCTCATGACACACAGCATTTATATGACTGTCCCCAGCATGAAAAACCCATGTGTCAGTCATTGACTGACAGTCTTCCTTCTCTTTGAAAAACAATTTGAAAAGATGGAGAATTAAGAAATGTCATAAAAAAAACCTCTCTACTTTGCAGAATCTTGGGGTGAGTAATACTCTTTAAAATGAGAATGTGCAAAATGCCAGGGACAGAAAACTAAGCACATCTGGTGATAACAACAGTAGGTT